CATATGGTGGAGTCTGGACAACGGAAGGCAGGCTAACGATGAGCTTCGCCGTCAACGGCGCAAAGATGCGGGCCGCGCTTGCTTGCAAAGCACATGTCAAAATCCGAGGCCTAAATCGACGTGCGGTTGCTGACTGTGTCTGTTAGGCGCCCGACGACATGATTCACGAAAGACGCTCCGAGCGAGACGGACGACTCATACAAGCTGTTCTCGTAAGTTCCGGAAATATGACCTCCCGCGTGCGGCGCATGCACTACAGGAGGCCATAGCAATGTCTAAATTGTCATCCGCTCTTGACGCATGCACAGTGATAGTGCCGCTCGACTTCACGAGAAAGGGCGGTAGCACCCCATATCTTTATCACCTGCTGAACATCATCGTCGGGAACGATGTATGCGACGAAAGCCCTGATACTGGACTGACGGTTCCTGCAGGCCCATCAACCTGGTCCTTCGAACAGCGTTGTGACCTGTTCCCAGGCAGGATCGTACCATGGTACTCGCGGATCCGGCTCGGTCCAGCAACCACGTCGCGTGAGAAGACCGGGGAACATGTCATGGGAAAGAGAAACCCCAGTCTGTTGGAGGCTGCGCAAAAACCTGGGGTCAGAATGCGCTATGCACCTTGAAGTTCTCGTAGATATCAAGTGATGCGCCACCTGGTGGGTACTTGTCTTTGTCTCGCCTCTTAATCAACCCCACTTGCACTGTGGTACAGAGCACTATCAGCGCGATAATTCGGTCGGTGGCTGCTGATACTGATGCTGTGTCACTGACATGTTTAGGCCAAATGTGGTGATGGAGGCCGAGTGGCATGAAAGTACATCAGGGCCTAGGCGCAAAGGTCAGAAGAGATTGAGGGGCTTGTGTGAAAGGTAAGATTGCGCTGGTCGGCATGTCCCGTGGATGGAAGGTACGAGTCGGCGACGAGACTTCAGGACGCAGGAATACATTCGGCAGATGTGAGTGAAGGGTAGTGTATATGTTCATGAAGGAGTTCATGGGATTTTGTCCTGCAGGGGAGCGTGGGGAGGGCTCCGAGACGTTCCCGGGCCATCTGCCGGGTCCGCAATCGCAATCGTTTGACATGGTCTAGCCGTTTGCGGCTAGCACCAACGCTATCGAACATCTCGACTCCGGGGATGCGGCCGCCCGGCAACTGCCTCTAGCATGAACGCGGGAGTTGGAAATGAGCTAATGGTAAGCATCCGCATGGTCCCTGATATCAATCGCATGAAGGGGATTGTCGGCATTGTGTTTGTTGTTGGTAATGCGAAATTTGCGAGTGGCTTGCCGCCCACATGTCATGAGGTGGGTGGCTCATCGCAGTACCACGAGAAGCTGATCTTGGGTAGTCTCTTCTGAACCAGCAACAAAGAATCTAGGATAAGTTTTGAAAGAGGGCCTTCGATGAGCGCTACTCGATAGTATAGCTCCCTTTCCCCTTAGATCTCGTTAAGGGTTTTGTAGCCGGGCAAGAGGTCGAAAAGGCGATATTGTGACAGGCCTTACTTCCGGATTCCCCGTTCATGCTAAAGAATTGCATCTCAGACAAGGTTTCACTCCAGGGACAAAAGTTTGATAGTCGATAGAGCCAGGATTTCTCAAGATCCACCACAAGACTGGTCATCTCTTGGCTGCGGACGAATAGGACTCGCCATTCAGATTTCAGTCGAGGTGTCATGCGCCTTTTGCGTGCGCGGGATTGGACCGCACACCCATTCGTATGTACCGCTATCGCATGCAGCAATTCGCGCTATTCAGTGTCGCTTTTCGGAGATGGACGCATCTCGGTGACCGACGGCGAAAACAATGGCGTGTGGATATGGCCTCTTTCAAATTGGCAAGGTGATACACGTCCAGAAGCGTGCGTCTGGACGCTAAGTCTCACAGCCATCCTGGAAGCCACGATTTGCTCTTTCATCTAATTTCCTAACTCGAAAGTGAGGTCACGCGTAATGAATGTGGGACTGCGACACGCCGTTTGGCGGCTGTCAGAAACCGACTTCGCGCGATGATTGAGATCGAGAAAACAGCCACGACAAACGCCCACCGGCTAGAATTCACATCTTCTGCCCGATACATACTACCTCTGCGCCTAGACTGATATATTTGACCTAAGGATTCGGGGCTACTGATTAACAAAGACATCCGACATCATCACCTTTCTAGTGTGCCACGCTTTCCATTTTGACATCTGTCACACGGGTTTAGGACTAGCATTCACCAGCAGTATCTACCTTCACTTCGGTATAAAGCTCGTGTCTCCAACGCATCAATATCATCGCCAGCACACCACTTCTACCATCTTCACCTCTCTCTTCTACTCTCTATTCAGATCTCCAACATGTTCAGCACCAACACTCTTCTTCTTGCTCTTGGGCTTGCTGCTTCCTCAGATGCTTTCTTCCGAATGTCTTGCCCGGGACGAACTGTCAGAGAGCGACTTGATCCCATTGTCAACCCTGGAGCCGTTTCTGGCCATGTCCACACGATCTCAGGCGGAGCGGCCTTCAAAGCCTCCATGACCTACGCAGACACCCGAGCTTCCAAGTGCTCGTCATGCACGATCAAGGTAAGACAGTCACCTCGTTTTGGTGCTACATGACTAACGATTTGCAGGAGGACATGTCTAATTATTGGACGCCGCAGCTTTACGTCAAATACAAGGACGGATCCGGCTTTGCTCCTGTCCCGGTCATGGGTGACCCAGATGACACCAACGGCGGCATGACCGTCTACTACCTTCAGCGTCGAGGTACCAATGAGACTGAGAAACTCCACGCGTTCCCGGAGGGCTTCCGCATGGTCGCCGGGGACCCATTCACTCGCAGCTACGACGGCAGTCTTGCCGCCCAGGGCATCTCCTTCAACTGCCTTGGTGCGAACAAACCGGAAACTAACGGTTTCCCCGACTACCCATGCCCAGGTGGACTGCGAGCCCAAGTCTACTTTCCTCAGTGCTGGGACGGCAAAACCCTTGACCCTTCCGATCATAAGAGTCATATGAGCTACCCAGAGGGCAACGTATACAACAGCGGCAACTGCCCCGCCTCGCATCCTGTCCACATGATATCGATCTTCTTCGAGATCTTCTACGACACTGCCCTGTTCGCCGACCAGTGGGTTGATGGCAAGCACCCCTTTGTCTTCGCTCAAGGAGATGCAACTGGCTTTGGTCTCCACGGCGACTTCTTGAACGGATGGGATGTCAAGGTGCTTCAGAATGCTGTCGACAACTGCAACGACGCCGGAGGTGCAGTGGAAGACTGCCCAGCCGTGACCATGTTCACCGACCGAGAGTGCAACGACTGCAAGATCCCAGTATCGGTCAACGAGAAGACTAGTGGAAAGCTTGCTGCACTCCCCGGCTGCAACCCCGTCACCTATGGCCCGCAACGCGCTACACCAGGAAGTTGCCCAGACAGCACCACACCATCAACAGACGGCGGCTCCACCGATCACGACGACTTGACCGCCATCCAGGGCTGGGAGTACGTTGGTTGTGGCTCCGACAATGTGAGCGACCGCGCGATGAACGGTTCATGGACCTTCAACGACTACATGTCCATTGAGATCTGTGTCGACTACTGCAATGCCCGCGGTTTCACCTACGCAGCACCCGAGAACGGCAACGAATGTTTCTGCAACAACAGCCTCAACCCCAAGTACGCGCCCAAGGCCGGTATCATGGGCTCATGCACCAAGTCTTGTGTGGGCAACGTCAAGCAGATCTGTGGCGGTGCGAATGCGATGAGCATCTATCACAAGTGCTCCGGCGGCACATGCCAGAACAACAATGATGGTGGTGCGGCGCCAGTGCAGAGCAAGGCCTCCGTGGCTGCTAGGTGGATTCCCCTGTCGACCATGGCTACGGTCGCAAAGGCTGCTGCAGCTACTCCGGTGGTTTTGTATGGGTAGACGCGGCATGGATTGCGGACGAACCCTGCGATGTCCAATTAACGGCCTTGATGTCTCCCTTTTAGGGCTATTTCCTCTGTAAATCTGCAAGCGCATCAGATATATGATTGATGAATTCAAAACATTCTTTCTACTTCACTGCTCGCTTGATCAGTTTTGCTGATGCCCGCGCCAGTGACTCACGCCAACTTTCTAACAAGAAATTCTGACGTTCATAGTCAACTTTCGTTTAAATCAGGAGGCGCAACACCATAGCGCGGACGGATGCAAGGTACCCGGCCGGCTAGCTTGATGTGTGGCTCTAGTTTGGTTGTCAATAGCACTAGCGCGCCAGCGCCTTGATCAGAGTGGCTGTGCAACCAGGCTGGGAAGACCCGACATAATGCATATCAGAAGTTAGTCTCGCAATTGCATATCAAGAAGGCAGCTGAAACAATGACCATGAGCACAGAATGAAAATCATGGCTCGGAATAAACCATGTGGAGTAAAAGATGCTGGCACAGAACCTAGTTCGTGAAATTGATGCCATAGTCTTCGCATCTAAGCAAAATGCGTCCAGACCCTTGTCAAGGCTTATTTTCCGAGCCAAGTAGTTGCTGTTGGTGAAAGCGTCTTAGCTCCGAGCTCCGAGACGGCGGTAACCTATCACTCCCGTCATATTGCTTTCCCAGTATCTCCCTCTCAGACGCACCATCTTCAACCTCATAAGGATCAAGCATTCTGTGTTCTTGTAGTTCGAATTCGAAGTCTTGACGCGTTGCCGATGGTCGAGTTGCTTCAAAACTTTCGATAAAAGATGGGGCGACGTGCCTGAGGAAGAGCCGCAAGGTTGGGAGGGAACCGGTGATGATGATGAGACTAGCTTCGATGAGGCTAGCGGAGCTTGTCAGCGAGGGATCCATGCAAAGGGCTGATGCTCGGCGAAAGCTGCGCACTTACATCCACAGACTAGGGTAAACAGTGTCCCAAGAGGCGTCTTTGGAAGTCAACATGGGAGGAAGTAATGCGACGCGCACCGCACTCGTCACGCATGTACTAGCATATGAGTCAGTCATACTCGCGTACCTGGAGCTGGAAGCTTACATCGAGCCAACACCGAAAATCCCTATCACCATGATCTTCCGCTCCTTCGACATGTGCAGTCGCAAAACCATGGGTATAGGTATGATGATGACCATGATATCTGTGATGATGTTCAGTACCCCAGTAGCGATGTACAACGCCGCTTTGTTCAAGCATTGCCCTTCTGTGACAGTCACGTCGATGTTCTTTGCAAACGGTTCGCATGCTGCGAGTAAAGAGATGACGATGCCGACACAGGATCCGACGACAACGAATATGGTAAAGTAGACTCCAGCGCGGAAGCCGCGTGCAGGGCTCAAGTTGAGATAGAGACAGAGAAAGGACAACTTTGCGAAGGCGAGAGCTGGCGAGTACAGCACAGTGGTTGTCAGAGTTATCTATAGTCCTGAGGGTCAGCAAATGATGCTGCCGACCTTGCCGACGGTGGACCGACTCTCGCGATAGTATTCAGTTGGTGACCGGTAAGTTCCCACGCATGTACACCGATCAGACCTGCGGGCGCCCGGTCTGCGATGCTGTTATCAATCCCGTTCCATAGAACAAAGAAGCAATGGGCAGGACTTACAGATGATGAGTGACTGTACAGGTATGGCAAAGACCTGCCAATCGACGACCAGCTCATGTCAGCCGTGAGCTTACCTCGACAGAATAATTGCAACCACGTACCCAGGCAAGGAGCAGGCAATCTGACGCAGCTGTTAGCAAGGATGCATTACGTTTACGGGGAAGACTTACAGTCGTCAGACGACAGTTCCTTAACTAACACAACTTTGGTGTACGCTCGAACAGCCAACAGAAACGTGGAAATGGTCGTTCCCACGATTCCAATCCAGAGGATAATAGCTTCACCTCGTCGTTGTGGGTTCTCGAGATCTACCACATAGTCGTCTGGTGCGGGTATGATTGGCTGGGTGAGATCCGCCATCTTCCTGCGAGATTGCTTGCTGTGGAGGCAGCCCTCAATTGGGGTGCATTAAACAGCAAGACGGGGGCATTACTTCGATTTGAGTCTCACTGTCTCGCAGGATTCGAAACAAGCTGATTTGGCAGATCCAGCCAAATGGTAATCCACCTAAGCGAAGCAGGTTGATTGATCCGGAGATTTCATGTGCCGCTATTGTGAGCGAGGCTGAAAGTATAATGCAATGCGTCCTGTCCATACTGTCCCCTGTAATGGCAATGATGAATCTCGATCTAACTTTATCGATAGCGCAATCCTTCCGACTCAGCTTGCAGGCAACGCGTTGACTCCCAGTATCGTCCATCACATCTTGGTGCGCCTGTCTCAAGGTCATCTCCATCGAGTACCTACCTAGGTAGACTTTACTCGTATCGAATTGCCTTTCAGTTACTACAAGGCGATATACGGTGGCTTGAATTAGAGGTCCCGATGTGTCGCACAGCCGAACTTCTGTGGCATTGCTGCCACGCTGCTAGGGAAATCCTGCGAGACCAGGCCAGGAAAGGGGAACATGCGCGAAGGATGCAGGCGAACGAGTTGCGGGTCAATCATCGACTCAGCCGTGTCGGTACTCGATCTCATTGGATCGAGAGTTGTGTCGCTTGATAGACGGCAGAGCCGCGACGGTGCTATTCTTCCATGGGGATGCCGCCCGCAGCCATGCTTCCGCGGACACCTAGAAATGGCCGCGCGTTACCCAACTAGGACTAGCACCGGCTTGGTCAGTAAGTCTCTCCGATGGGTGCTCCTCCTTCCCCATTCCCTCCATGATCACTATGCCCAGACTCTCCATAAAACCCACGGCAGACTCCAGATTTGATGTAGTCGAGTCAATGCCGTCGGCACGGAGGCATCTGCCGCAATGGTCCAAAAGCGTAGAGATCATTTTCGGCTGCAGCCATCCGCGACCTTGCAGACTCGGTCAATGAGCTTTCACATCTTCGGCGGGTATCTAGTCCACCTATGAGATCAGTATCAAAAGGCTGATGACCCGAACACTCACACATTTTTGAGTTGTTTCGTCCTCCTCGTTAAGGTTCATTCACCGACTGTTCTTGCATCATGTTCTGTCTGAGCTTGGCCCTGCTCAGCGCAACGCGCGCCCAAAACGAATCCCACTGTGTAAGCTTTATGTTACCTTATGATGCTGTGCTGACTTTCTCCAGTGCACAGCTCTGACTCAGAGTCCTGTAGCCAAGCGCGTAACCTACCCTGGTCAGAATGCGTACGACGCTAGCATTGCCTCTTACTTCGATGGAAAGAGCAGACTGTCGCCCAACTGTATCGTGCAGCCCGAAAACGCCGAGGAAGTGGCTACAATTGTCAAGGCTCTTACGACTGCCAGCACGCAGAAAACTTGCAAATTTGCCGTACGATCTGGTGGCCATACCCCGATTCCTGGCGCCAACAACGTCGACGATGGCGTCACAATCGATCTGCTGAACATGAATGGAACCACTTACAATGCTGATTCCGAGGTAGCAAGCATCTTACCAGCGGCGAGATGGGGCTCTGTCTACGCAGCTCTTGAGCCACTAGGACGTATGGTAGCCGGAGGCCGAGGCAGTACCGTCGGCGTTGGTGGCTACCTACTAGGTGGTGGGATATCTCACTACGCACCTCGCGTTGGATTGTCTTGTGACAACGTGATCAATTTTCAGGTCGTCCTTGCCGATGGTCGCATCGTAAATGCCAACAAGACGTCTAATGCTGATCTCTTCACTGCTCTCAAAGGGGGTAATTGCAACTTTGGCATCGTAACGCGTTATGACATGGAGACATTTGAGAATGAAGATCTCTGGGGAGGTATCGTCTCGTGGCCTGCATCCACCGTCAGGCAGCATTTCAAGTCGCTTGTCGATTTTGGTCTCGACCCGAACAGAGATCCGAACGCTGCTCTGATCCTCTTCCAAGGATACTCAACAGCGAGTCCCGTGAACGTTGTACGAGCTGCGTTCGATTACACCAAACCCGTAGCTCGCCCGGATGCCTACAGCGAGTTTCTCGCCGTCAACAACACCCTCAGCGATTCTACCAAGATCCAGCCAATGAGCGCCATTGCTGCCGAGTTTGGTAGTGACACGACTAAACGGTACGTTTTCCCACTGACTTCAATGTGAGATTGTCGCTAATACAAGCAACTAGAGTTCAATTCCGTACCCTCTCATACAAGATTGATTATGAGACTCTTCAGGAGACAGCGCGTCTATACGACATCATGCTGACGGAGCTTCGAGCCAAGGCCTCTGGACAATGGCGCATCTCGTGCTTGCACCAGGTCTTTGCCACAAGCTACACGGCGAACAGTACAGCCAGAGGCGGCAACGTGCTTGGGTTGGAACGCTACACTGAAAATTTCATTATGTATCAGTCATACCTACTTTGGTCCGAGGCGAAGGATGATGACCTGTTCATTACTCAGGGCAAGATGCTGACCGACGGCATTCAGAAGTTTGCCATGGAGAAAGGCACAGCGGTGGAATACCTGTACCTCAACTATGCCGATAAGGACCAGGATCCGCTTTCGGCTTACGGTGCTGACAAGGTGGCGTTCATGAAGAAGGTCGCGAAAAAGTACGATCCGACAGGCGTCTACCAGAGTCAATTGCCGGGCGGGTTCAAGATTTCTCAGGTGTAGAATCAACAAACCTACAACAGCCTACAAACCTCAAATAAATTACCCGATTAGGAAGGTCGCAGAAAGCGTCGATAATAGCAATGTATCTTCTTGCGTTGCGCGTCGTGGAGGGCCCGGAGACCTTGCTGTCGTCGGCGCGAGGTTTGCCATGGATGCCCGCTATGAATCAGTACGTAACCTTACTGGTCGATCGGATCGGCTTCGCTTGGAACTGAAAGCTCCGCTAACGAATCAGTGTGATGGCTTCCTTGGAATCATGTGCAATTTGTTTTATTCCAAAATGAACTTGTGTTGTCTTCACAAATATGGTGATGTTCTATCGAAGGTGGTGGGCCTCGCTGCGTTGGGGTCGTGAGCGGCTGCCCCGCGCAGCTAGCGACGCCAACTAACCTCGTCGCGTCGCGTCGCGACTTCCAAACCTCATTTAGCTGCAATGACCTGATCCGCTACATGCTGGCACAACTCAACGGCCGGCTGTTTCTTCAAAATGACGAACACAGGAACCTCAACGCCGAATTGCTTGAGGAACCAGTACCGCAACTCAACCGCAATGAGCGAGTCAACACCAAGCACATAGGCTGGCTTGCCTACGTCAAGATTCTCCGCTGGTATGGACAGCGATTTGCTCAGCTTCCCAAGTAACGCCGACGTTACAATCTGCGCAGCCTCCTTCGTACCAGCGGCCGCCTTGATGAGAGCGAGATAGTCGACGGTTGCCGCCTCGCCTTCGCCGCCAGCCCCGGTGCCGTTGACCAACTCGACCTGACCCAGACGAAGGAGATTCTTGAACAGCGGCTTACCCACCCAGTGCAAAACGCCGTCCTGGAACATCCGATACAGCTTCGAAGGCTTATCATGGATGTTCACCACCTGCGCCGCGCCGCCGGCACAATCGTATCCAGGATCACACAAGACATCCAGAATCGCCATTAGCTGCTTCTGCGTCAGCCCACCCAACCCAGCGCGCAGACTCTTCGTCACGTCCTCAAAATTGTCGCTCGCCCACCCAGCCTCTAAGACCAAGCCGAGATCGAACGAAACGCCCTTCAGCCCACTGGCGGCACGGTGCCGCGCGAGCGCGTCCTCGAAAGTGTTGCCGGCTGCATAGTTGGCTTGCGCGGGGTTGCCGATGATGCCGCTCATAGAGGAGAGGAAGACCATAAAGTCCATATCCTTGGGCAGGAGTTCGTGAAGGTTCCACGAGCCTTGATACTTGGGCGCCAATGCGCGGTGGAACTGCGAGACGGTCATGTTGGAGAGCATGTTGTCCGACAACACCATCGCTGCCTGGATGCAGCCCTTGATCGGCGGCAACGTTTTGCTAGCCTCCTCGAGGGTGCTCTTGAGGACCGCGCGGTTCGAGATATCCGACGCCGGCGCATGGACTACGACGCCTTGGGCTTCCATCTCTTGAATGAAGGCGATCACATCGGCGCGCCCAGCTACGCCTCGCGACGAGGTGACGAGGAAATGCCGTGCGCCGCGGGACGCCATCCAGCGCATGATCTCGCGCCCCAAACCACCCAAACCACCGCTAATGACATATGTAGCTTGCTCCTCAAATGTGTACGCCGGCTTCTCCGCGGGCTGATACACGACCACATCTCCCGACTTTTCGAAATCGATGACGGCCTTCCCTGCAATCTTACCGCCCTGCAACGCGCGCATCGCTTCCTCAATCTTACTCGGCGCGAACGCATGCAGCGGCTTGGGATTGTGGAGCTCAGGATTCGCCGCAAACAGACTAAAGACGTCGTCGAGCACGAGTTGCATCAGGGTCTTGTTCTCGGCGTACATACCCGCGACGTCCACGGCCGCAAATGTGACATTGCGCAGGAAGTGGCCCATCTCAAGCGTGTTGTTGGCGAGGATATCTGCTTTGCCAATGTCAATGAAGCGACCAAAGGGCGCTGTGCAGCGCCATGAGTGTTGTAGAAGTTCGCCGCCGAGAGAGTTCAGGACGACGTCAACACCGCGGTTGGCCGTGGCATGGAACACATCGTCGACGAAGCTAGCCTCTCTGCTGTGGAAGATGTGGTCGTCCGCGAGGCCGTAAAGCTCTCTCACCAGCTGGCGCTTCCAGTCGCTCCCTACCGTAACGAATACCTCCGCCCCACGCAGCTGCGCGAGCTGTATAGCAGCCTGTCCCACCGCACCAGCTCCGGCATGGATCAATACACTCTCGCCTTTGCGCAGCCGGCCTACATGATCGAACGCATACACAACGGTAGCCCATACGGCAGGAATAGCAGCTGCATCCAAGAACGAGATGTCTTCGCGCGGGATCTTGCGCGTCGATGCCTCGTCGCAGCGTACATAGGTTCCA